ATATCGGTTTCTAGGTGGTTGCCCGATATGGAGACAGAGAGGTCCAGGAAGGGGAGAGAGGTGTTAGAGATGGTCCAGGTAAACTTAAGGTTGGGGTGGAAGGTGTTAGTGAAGTGGCTGAACTGTTCGAGCTCCTCGTGGGAGCACGAGGCGGCGCCGATACAGTCATCAATGTAACGGAGGAAGAGGTGGGGTTTAGGGCCGGTGTAGGTACGGAAGAGGGATTGTTCCACGTAACCTACAAAGAGGCAGGCGTAGCTTGGGCCCATGCGGGTACCCATGGCTACCCCCTTTGTCTGTAGGAAGTGGGAGGAATTGAAAGAGAAGTTGTTGAGGGTGAGGATGAGTTCGGCTAAGTGGATGAGGGTGTCAGTGGAGGGGGACTGGTCCGATGCAAATGTATTTGCTTTCACTATTACTGATTTTAAAAAATGGAATAGATTAATTAATTACCTTTTAATGGTGTTTATCTTTCACAAGGAAACCTGTTTTGTGTTGCACTAGCCATTCCTCAGGCTAGTTCTATTTCTGTTCTAAAACAAACTACAGGGTTTTCATTCCATTCAGAAACAGGTATGCCATGTTGAGAATTGCCTACCAATGTAGGCATATGCTTAAGTCCATCTATCTTAAAGGGGGACTGTCCCTTTATGCGAATTGTTACAGAATGCAGTTCTGCCCTATCACCGTGTGATGTGGAGCGTGCTTTCTGTTGGAGACTGAAGACGGTCCCACAAGATAGATCACTTTTTAAAATATGTATAAATATTTAAAATTGAGAAGTTGGGAGGTTATGTTGCGGTTGTACAGGACATTGGTTAGGCCACTTTTGGAATATTGTGTGCAATTCTGGTCACCCTGCTATAGGAAGGATGTTGTGAAACTTGAAAGAGTTCAGAAAAGATTTACAAGGATGTTGCCTGGATTGGAGGGTTTGAGCTATAGGGAGAGGCTAAATAGAGTGGGGCTATTTTCCCTGGAGCGTCAAAGGCTGAGGGGTGACCTTATACAAGTTTATAAAATCATGTGGGTATGGGTAGGATAAATAGACAAGGTCTTTTGCCTGGGTTGGAGGAGTCCAAAACTAGCAGGCATAGGTTTAAGGTGAGAGGGAAAAGATTTGAAAGGTACCTGAGGGGCAACTTTTTCACACAGGGTATTGCATGTATGAAATGAACTGCCAGAGGAAGTGGTGGAGGCTGGTACAATTACAACGTTTAAAAAGCACCTGGAGGCGTATATGAATAGGAAGGGTTTGGAGGAATGTGGGCCAAATGCTGGCAAATGGGACTAGATTTATTTAGGATATCTGCTCAGCATGGACGAGTTGGACCGAAGGGTCTGTTTCCGTGCTGTATATCTCTGACTATAAAGACTGGGATCACATTTATCAAGAGGACAAGTCTGTATTCTTGGAGTTTTGTTTCAACAATATCTAGTGTTAAATAGAAAAAAAAACATTTTTGTGTTGTGTTTATCAACAGAAGCAGTTACATAGAATATACAGAAATGAAACAAACTATAAGTAATGTGTTGCAATAAATGAAATGCCAGCCTTTAGTGGGGTGCAAGTTACAGAAAACATCTGCTCTCTAATTTAACATTGCAAATTATGCAGTAATTCATTAAATGGTAGCTTTTGTTCATGAAAGTTTACCTTGCTTTTAGGTCTTCTTGCTTCTGTGCCTTCTAACCCTAATACAAGTGCTGAACCTATGGAATATTCACAAGGAGACAACACACATGGATGCAGTAGCATAACAGGTAGAAAACCAGCTCAGTGATTTGGATTTCTGGTTTTGGGATGGGGAAGCAATTTGGAGGCTGAAGCCACACTTTTACAAATAGGCATGTATTCAGGTTCTCTTGGCACACTCCATTGTATAAGCATGTATAATGTTCATTTAAAAGCAAAATACTTAAGGTGCTATAAATCTGAAAGAGACACAAAGTGCTAGAAATGTTCAGCAGGTCTGACAGCATCTGTGAAGAGACAATCAGAGTTAACTTTCAAATAGAATGTGACTTCCCCAGTTCCGATCATTTTTTGGTTGATAATCATTTACAGGTTACTTTTAAATAAATTGATTAGCCTTTTAGAACATGATTAATATTAAGTGTTAAGTCTTAAATGTTTTTGTTCAATGAATCATGTACCTCAAACATAGTTGTTTGTGGTACCTGGATTCAGTTCCCAATTTAGAATAAAATAGTTTTTGGAAAATAGCAGTAACAAAATATATTTATATTGCACCTTTAAAATAATTAAATATTCCTTGATGCTTCACTGATGCACTGAAACAAAATATGATACTAAACCACAAGATATTATAGCAAATAACTAATAGCTTATTTAAGAAGTCCAAAGGTTCTTAAATTATTTCAATAGTGGTGCTGAGATGCTTTAGATAATGCAGAGCCCACTGTAATTAATGTACAGTGTGCTGCTTCACAGAACATAGAACAGTACAGCACAGTACAGGCCCTTCGGCCCACGATGTTGTGCTGAACTTTTACCCTAATCCTAAGGTCTATCCAACCTCCACCCCTACCTTATACTATCATCCATATGCCTATCTAATAGCCGCTTAAATGCCCCTAATGAGGTCGACTCCACTACCCTCTCCAGCAATGCATTCCACGTCCCGGCTACTCTCTGAGTAAAGAACCTACCTCTGACATCTCCCCTATATCTACCTTCACTCACTTTAAAACTATGCCCCCTCGTAATAGCTACCTCCACCCTAGGAAAAAGTCTCTGGCTGTCCACTCTATCTATACCTCTGATCAATTTGTACACCTCTCATCCTTCGTCGTTCTAAAGAGAAAAGCCCTAGCTCTCTCAACCCTTCTTCGTAAGACCTTCCCTCCATTCCAGGCAACATCTGGGTAAATCTCCTCTGCAACTTTTCCAGCGCTTCCACATCTTTCCTGTAATGAGGCGACCAGAACTGGACACAAAACTCCAGATGTGGCCAAACCAGGGTTTTGTATAGCTGGAGCATAACTTCACGGCTCTTGAACTCGATCCCTCTATTAATGAAAGCTAACACACCATACGCCTTCTTAACAACTCTATCCACCTGGGTGGCAGCTTTCAGGGAACTGTGGACATGAACCCCGAGATCCCTCTGCTCCTCCACACTGCCAAGAATCTTTCCGTTAACCCTGTATTCTACTTTCAATTTTGTTCTTCCAAAATGAATCACCTCACACTTTTCAGGGTTAAACTCCATCTGCCACTTCTCAGCCCAGCTCTGCATCCTATCAATGTCCCTTTATAACCTAGAACAGCCCTCCGCACTGTCCACAACGCGACCCACCTTCGTATCATCCGCGAACTTACTAATCCACCCTTCCATTCCTTCATCCAAATCATTTACAAAAATCACAAATAGAAGAGGACCCAGAACAGATCCTTGTGATACACCACTCGTAACTGAGCACCATGTTGAATATTTTCCGTCCACTACTACCCTTTGTCTTCTAAGGGTCAGCCAATTCTGAATCCAATCTGCCACATTTCCCCCTATCCCATGCCTCCTTACCTTCTGCATGAGCCTACCATGGGGAACCTTATCAAATGCCTTACTTAAATCCATGTATACCACATCCACTGCTTTACCTTCATCCACGTGTTTGGTCACCTCTTCAAAGAATTTATAACTGTTTAAAATATTTGTTCCACCCTTTTTATGTCTCTTTTAAAATCTTGTTACCTACCATCCAGCCAGTCATGTGCTAAACTTCTCACTAAAGTATTATTGTTCCCCTCCTTTCTCCGGTATTGCAGATTAGCAATTATCTGTATTCCCCTTACTGTCTCGTTTTCAAATTCATCATCCTTGTGTCATCCCTAAACCTTTTCCTTTAAATAAATTGTACTATTTAACTGCATACTCAAGCTTCACACCTCCTGTGGTCTCTCTAGTCTTCTGGACCCACTCTTTGGAATTCTGCCTTCAAATGTTTCCTTTTACTCTTCTGTACCAATACAGGTCCTGGAAGAAAACACAATTTGTTTTGGATTGCAGTTTGACATTCCCAGTTCCACTCCTTTTAATGAATGCAGCAAAGAACATTTATTTGTTTAAAGTGTTATTCTTAATTGCCCTAGAATGTTTGTTTAATCTGATGATAAACTCTCTTGCCCAAGTGTTTCTGGTTTATAACATGTAGCAGTAAGTGGCAACATTCTTTCAGATGGGAAAAACGCTGTGCTTTAAGTTGAAAATTTAATTTAATTTGAACTGACTTTGAATGTAAATCTGTGGAGTCTCATTGCAGTCTACTTTTTATTGACCTGAGCCTTTTGCATTTGGTAAACTGCTTCAGGATGTTTTCTTTAAAACAATTCTGTTGGTAGTTCAGTCTGCAGGGTGGAGTGATGGTGTGTGTGTGTAGATGCCGGCAGCCGGCAAGGCCAACCAGGGTTCCTGTTCCTCATTGCTGTCAGTGTCATCCAATGGACTTATTTTAAATATTTTTAATCAATCTGTTCAGCCATGGTATCTCCACCATCTGGAGCAGGTGGGACTAAGCTTTGAATAGTCAGGAAAGAGAGATCCCATCAAGAGCAAGACATAGCCCAAGTGAGTATATAGTTGGGAAATTTGGCAATGTGGGAATTTGGTGCATTGGGGAATGAGGTTTTTTTTTTTTTGTTTGTTTATTTTTGGCTTATAATTTTTAAGGTTTCTTACAGGATATTTGAAGGCCAGGCTCAGGGCCCAGCATAAGAGTGACATCAGAGGTAAACCGTAAGTTCTTTGGTTGACTATCTGTTATGTGTTACTTTCAGATTGAAGGTATATAGGCAAAATATTTGCAGGCTACAAGCTAAAAATCTACAAAAAAATTTTTGCAAATCAGTTTAAATAATTAAAAGAGATATTAGGCCAGGCGATGTGTTGTAACTGCATGATATGGGAGCTCGTAGACCCTGTTGTGGTTCATAGTAACACATTTGTGGCAAATGTTGGTTGCTTGAGGAACTCTGGCTCAGAGCTAGAGTCTAAGCTTCAAATACTATGAAACATCAGGAAGGGGAAGAGTTACCTGGGTGCTGTGTTTCAGGAGGCAGTCACACCCTTAGATTAACTACCTCCAAGTCACTCCACGGTCTGGGACAGGTGAGTGTGACTATGAGCGAGGCAGGTCGAGGGATCCAGGAAGTAGTGTCGAACGAGCCTCAGCCCTTGAGCTTGTCTAACAGCTTTGAGGTTCTTGGTGTCTGTGAGGTTGAGAGTTGGGGCTATAGGGAGGGTGAGCAAATAGACCATAGCACCTTGATAAAGGGAGCCAATTAAGATAGGGGAGCAAAGAGCAATGTAGTTGTAATTTATGATAGCAAATCAGGGATTGGCACTGTTTTCTGTGGCCATGACTGTGACCCCTGAAGTCTGTGTTGCCTGCCTGGTGCCTGGGTTCAGGATATCTCATCTGGGCTGCATAAGAACTTGGCAGGGGAGGGAAAGATCCAGTTGTTGTGCTCCACATAGGTACCAAAGAAATAGGTAGGAAGAGGAAAGAGATTATGCTAAGAGAATATGAGCATCTAGGAGCTAAACTGAAAAGCAGAACCACAAAAGGGATAATCTTTGCATTACTACCTGAGCCACAAGCAAATTGGCACAGGTTCAACCAGATTAAAGAGGTAAACGTAGGCTGAAAGGTTGGTGTGGGAGAAACTGGTTGAATTCATGGGACACTGGTATCTGTACTGGGGAAGGAGGGAGCTGTTCCGACGGGATGGGTTCCACCTGAATTGTGCTGGGACCAGAATCCTTGTGAATAGGGCTTTCAGTTGCATGGAAAATTATGGAAAGAGTTAAAGGGGAGAGGGGAGGGCTCAGCTGAGGCTGAAGTTTCCAGAACAAGTATTAGGACCAAGCATGGAAAGGGTCAGGAATCTTACTTCAGGCACAACAAACAAAGCGACAACTCTGAAAACTGGGCAGATGGATTACAATGTGGCAAAATATGAGGTTATACATTTTTGGTAGGAAGAATAGAGGTGTAGACTATTTTCTAAACAAGGAAAGGCTTTGGAAATCTGAAACACAAATGGACTTGGGAATCCTCATTTAAGATTTTCTTAAGGTTAACGTGTGGGTTCAGTTGGTGGTTAGGAAGGCAAATGCATTTTGTGCATTCATTTCAAGAGTGCTAGAATACAAGAACAGAGATATACAGCTCCAACTGTATAAGTCTCTGCTCAGGCCACATTTGGAATATTGTGAGCAGTTCTGGGCCCCTTATCTAAGTAAGGATGTGCTGGCAATAAAGGGGGTCCATAGGAGGTTGGGAAGACTAATTCCGGGGATGAAGGGCTCGTCACTTGAGGTGTGATTGAGAACTAGGGACTGTACTTGGAGTTTAGAAGGATGAGGGGGAATCTGATTGAAACTTACAGAATACTGACTGACCTGGATAGAGTGGAATTGGAGAAGATGTTTCCACTAGTAGGAGAGATTAGGACCTGGGGGCACAGCTTCAGGGTGTAGGAATGATCCTTTAGAGCTGAGATGAGGAGCAATTTCTTCAGCCAGAGGGTGATGGATCTGTGGGACTCATTGCCACTGAGGAGGCTAAGTCACTGAGTATATTTAAGACCGAGATAGATTCTTGATTAGTAAAGGGATGAAGGATTAGAGGGAGAAGGCAGGAGAATGGGGTTGAGAAATAGATCAACCATGATTGAATGGCAGTGCAGACTCTATAGGCTGAATGGCCTAATTCTGCTCCTGTATATTATGACTTAAATCTAAGTCTCTTGGTTCAGACATAGCACCATTGCTATTAGTTGCAGTGCTCTGGCTCAGCTGTGTGAGCTTATGCTGTCAATTTAATGGGTGAGTAAGGCTCAATTGGGCAAAAACAAATGGCGTTAATGGAATTGCACCATTTGCTTAGTGGCTGTAGGAAAGGAGAGCAGGGAAACTACATTTAGTGAAGAATGAGCTTGTTTATTGTTATCCAATAGGGAATGCAAGTTTATTTGTAAACAAAGCAAATTTTTCAAAAAATCACTAAAATGGATTTCAAATACGTAAAAAATCTATTAAAAAAAAACCCATTAAACTTTGTGTCACTAGATCAATGTTTTCTGATTTTTGAGTGATGTGCAAGTTGATTGAATTATGTTGCCACTTCCCTGTTCACTAAGTGCCACAAAATAAATGTACGCATACAATTTCAAATTTAAATGAATCTGTTCCTTTTTGTGAAGCTGTTTCTACTTCAGTGCTGTCTCACATAGCTAGCTGTACAAACTATAATAAAATATAATACCCGGTGTGTGTATGTGTGTAACTGATCACTCCTCAGGATAAGGATGCACAAGGGAACAGTATCTGCATTGCACGGAGACTTGTAGCTTGTTCAGTGTTTTATTGTATAAACATACAAACTTGGTACTGAAGGGACATTTTTCATTTTAAAGTAAGCTTGATTTTAGCTGACGTGACTGTTCTTGTGTTTCAGGCAAGAGTTTCTTGGGTAGCAGTCTAAGTTCTGGAAAACAGACCACTCCTGGTGAAGGAATATCAGGAGTAGAGCCTAAAATTCAGAGGCAGAGCAGTGGCTAGGTAAGGACATCCAGGCACCCTCAATACAAGTCATTTTTAGACACAGAAGTTATGACAGGTGAGAGACCATAAGGTTCACCTTGGTGTTTTATCTCCTTTACCAGCACATGGCCCCAAATTTTCCCAGCCTTTTCCAATACTTTTTTATCCATGTAACCAATATAATGTCAGTGTTGGCATGAATGTGTAGGCTCAAGTGAGATTCTGCTACCTATCAGTTTGGTGCAAAGTCAAGGAAAGCAATGAAAAGTGTTTTGCATTTATTGAATTTGCAGCTGATTTTAAAAACAATCTAAGGAAAGGAATTAAAGCTCTGGATTGAATATTTTAGAAATTACTTTCAGATGTCCCTTAGAGCAGAATGAACTGTTGAGCTGGGCACATTGCTAAATTCCATGTTTATTTTTCTTTCAGTGCACTTGGAAAAAGGGAAAAATAAAAGGTTACAAGGAAGAATTACAAATGGGAAAGGTTACAGTACAGATTGAGCAACCTGGACTTCTTTTATTTTTAAGAAAAGAAAAGAATTGATCTGAAATATGGAAAGGAATGATTGGAAAATACATCATTATATATATGTTTGGCTCAATTTTGACAAGATGATGTATTGCTAGAAGATTGGAATGAAAGGTCCTGCTGTAAATATTTAATTTGAATATCTGAAGTTAAACACTAAATTATTGATGGCCTGTTTAGTGACAGACATCTATTTTTATAATAATCCATTCATAAATAATATTTAAATAATTTAGCATTAAATTCTGAATTTTTTTTTAAGTGGATGCTGCAAGTAGAGCATTTGCTTGTACTACCTTCATTTGGAAAATATTTGTCCCTTTTTTACCTTGGGTCTCATAGTTGACCTACTCCTTCCTGTGTGGGTCCCCCACGCCCACTTCAATCAGGTCTGACTGCCTGGCATTTTTTGATTGAAGCTAGCTAGCATTTGGCTGCTATTCACATGAAGACATTGAGTTTGCACCAGTCAGTACAAACTTAGACAAGATTGTATGAAAGGATGACATTTAGACCCTTAAATGCTGTAAATACTTGCCGTAGAAGTTCTATGCAGGAAATTTAGGGCTTGATCTCCAGCTCCTGTCAGGCCTTTGTCAGAGGCTGACCACTATTTTCCAGTTGGCCCTCTGGTTTGTGCAAGTGCTGGGAGATCATCCAGTCAACTGAAGGCACATGCCTAACAGCAAAATTTTAGAGTGGGAGCTATGGCAATGCAGCATACTGGCAAGCTTGGAAGCCTCCTTTAAAGCCTGGATGTAGCTGAAGTGACAGGCTGGCCTGAGGGGTACACTCCTCAAAATGGTGGCCCTGCTGCTGGTCCCTCTTATTTCCAATTTTTAAAATATTGTAGAGAGAACTTCCAATTGGCCCTCCATTTCTGAGTCTGTCCAATGTCCTTAATTGGATGGTAAGCCCATTCTCTGTTTATTCTTTGGACACTTTAGAAAAAATCACAGACCTCAGGCTGTGTTGGCTTTTGACCCCTATTCGAGTCTGACAGTAGTTCATGAAACCCACAGAAATATCCTGGTGTTGGTGTTAAATGTTCAAGTGAAAGAAATGTATAATCATAATTGCTTGCAGAAAAAAAAGTTAGCTAACTGAGTAGCAACAGCACTTTGCATCTATATAGCATGTTTAATGCAATTGAACATTCCACTGTGCTTTAATGGAGAATTATAAAACTAGGTTTGACTTTGAGCAACTTGTCTCATTTCTCTACCAATTCCCTTAATTGGAACAATTATGCACATCCATGACTAATTGCCAGACAAGAAGTTTGCCAATTTAGTGACAGTGGACAGATTGAGAGAGGGAGTGATGAGGTAGCGCTGGGTATCATCAGTCTATATATGAAAATTAATGCTACAGCGCAGACTGACTCCCCAACTATTTGTAGGGTGAACACAGACCCTCGTTGTCTGTCTTTTAAATATTTGTGTTGCATCTGGTGAAACTGTCAAAACACAAACTGGAAAATAATATATAATGAATTGTGGATACTGGAAATCTGAAACAAAAACAGAAATTGCTGGAGAAACTCAGGTCTGGCAGCATCTTGGAACGTTAACATATCCAGTGACCCTTCTCCACAGATGATACCAGACCTGCTGAGTTCTCTGTTTTCCCGTTTTTGTAACTGGAAAATGTTTATTTTTAAATTGAATAAAATATTATACTGAAGTGTTTGTTTCTGTTCCTTGTTCTCTGTTCATATGCATTAATGATTGTGTCTTTTTAATCTTCACTAGGAGCCACATTGGGATTGGGCCAGTATGGTAGGCCAAATGGAAGGCTGTTAGGATAGTAGACTAGGAAATGAGGAATTAAAAAAACCAGAATTCTGCATTTATGAACATGAAACCAATCTTTCTGCCTATGTTTGAAGATTTCAATTTTTACATACGTATAAATGTAAAAATAGAGGATGCTGTGTACAAATGCAAAATACCGCAGATGCTGGAAAACAAAAATAGAAAATGCTGGGAAAACTCAGCTGGTCAACAGCATCTGTGGAGCTAACTTTTTGAATTGATGATGATCCTTTGTCAGAACATGAAATTGTTTCTTTTGAGGTTTTATAATTAAGAGATCATAGTAAAGCGATTCAGTAGAGATTTCTTCTGGCATCTTTGTTGCTAATTTAGTTTAAATACAAATTATAATATTTATACTATAATAGCTGAAGAGATATAAAGTTGACAAGTTGTTCCAAGCAATTTTCTCCTATATGCCATGGTTAGTGGTGGTGATGATATTTGCAGGCATGTGATCTACAAGGTCACATTGATCGGTGGTGTACAAGGTTCAAGTTGGTAGTCTGATGGAATATTTTTTACTTTTTGGATGAGTCAAGCTGCAATGGGTAGAAGTTCAGCAACCTAGGAGAGAACAAGTGGGCTCAACTGACACTATTATTGGTTCACTAGGATAGGATGTATTGCAGAAATTCTCCAAATTCCTACTGCAATTCCCTAAATTATACCACATCTCCTTCCTTATGACCTGGAGCTTCTTCCCTAGCAGCACAATGGGTGGAAACACAGTCTGCAACAGTTCAAGAATGCAGCTCAACAATGCCAGCTTTACTGGGAATGCAATTGGAATGAGCTCAGTTCAACTTAATCAAGATTGTTGCATCAGGGGCCAGAATTGATCTATGGTCCCACTGGAAGATTTATTCCCAGTGATTTCAACCCAAATAACAAGTGTGCCCTAATTTTAAGAGACACAACTAATTCACACCTAAAACATAATTTTAAAAAAGAAAAGGAAGCTAATTATAAATGGCTCAAATTTTGTAGTTGGTTGGTGCTTGTGGCTGATCTTTCAGCACAAGATCCAGAACAGTGGCAGCAGCAGCAAGCAAAAGACAACCAATCAGAAGATTCTCATACTTACATCCAGCCAATCAGAGTCCTATTGAAGATTGTCCACTTACCCGTCAGTGACTTTTATGGCCAGGCATCTGGGTCTGACCTGTCCAAGGTGCCTCCATCATGGGAAACTAATCAGGTATCTACTTAGTCCAAGACCAGCATTGGAGGACCGGACATTTCCGCTTTCTCCAGCTGTATCTCGGTAGGTATTGTTTAAAGTTCCCACAGCTACTTTGGCAGCTACTGAGAAAAGGCACATGAGGAGGTACAGTGGCTAGTGGCTGAGTGAAGGGTTAGGGTTGCAGCTGGAGCAATTAGGTGCCAAATGTGTGAAATGGTACAGGTGGCAGGTAGGTGAGTGTGAGGGTAGGGTGGGTCAAGTGCCTGGGAGTGGGGGCAAGTAAGGTGTGTCTTATAGGAGTCGATACAGTGTGGAGCTGGAGGAACACAGCAGGTCAGGCAGCATCAAAGGAGCAGGAAAGTTGACGTTTCGGGTTCAGACCATTCATCAGGACTCCGTGTTTTAGAGGAATTGGGTGTCTGCAGCAGGATGGGGGGGGGGGGG